CACAAAAGCAGCAAACTTGTGTGAAATATATGACAAAAAATTAAGATTCTACAGACATTTGCTTTCTATGATGAAGCACAGGAAGAAAAGTACAGAAGGATGCTGTAAAACTGTTTTCAGACAGTAGGTAGTGAAAAATGCAATTTGTGAAATTCTCTCTTTGCACGGCCCATTCCTTTAATTGATTTTTCCCTTTAAGGGTACCTGAACAAATCATATTTCCATTCATTATATGAAGTCCTTTGATATTGCCTTGTAAAATCTCCAAGTTTTGTTACAATCATTACAATAATTTGTTACATAAAAGTCACATTGAGATATATCATTTGAAAATATAATTAATAATTTTAATTGGTAACTGCATATGGATAGCCAGAATGTAAGCAATTTTATATCTGTTTTCTTTTGGAAACTGAAAAACTGGAACTCAGCTGAGATATTTGCACCAAGTTACCAAATGCCAGACACCTAGAAAAGACAGAAATTATATTTACCTGTAGGTCTTTGCAAATTCTTTTGAACCAGTATCCTTCTCAGAGTACCATCCATAGATGCTTCTTCTATGTGAGAACGGTCCCCAATAACTGTCCAGTACATCATGCTAATAGTATTAAACATAAAAAATACATTTAAGCTTATACAAAATCTCAAAACACCTATAGACATTAAATACTGTGAGCATCCCAACCTACCTAAAAATAGGACATAACTGACCCTATTTCACATAAAGGGAAACCAATAGAAAGATTAAGAAATGACTTGGCCAAGTTTTAGACATTTGTATATATCATTTGTCACTCTGAATTTGGGTTTAAGTCACCAAAAATATAATGTTAAAATATACATACCCCTTTTTGGGATTTACAGCAATTGCATATGGCTCCCCTGCCATACTGGTAAGGAGTCTTGTACAGTTAGGTCCGTTCAGTTGCCCTACGTTGACGGAGTATCTCAGACTTGTCCAGTGAGTTGTATAGTAGCTGAACCAATGCATTCTGGAATGATCAGTCCAGTAAATATTTCCAGCAACCCAGTCAACAGCAATGTCCCTAGGCCTTTTGAATTCTGGACACTAGGAGGAACAGATTTTAAAGTCAGATGTATGGAGGTAATCTTTAACAGGTCACAGACTTGACAAATAACTGGTACTTTTAACACAGATGATGAAATATTTGAGAGCACTGCATTAAAAATTCCACCTATAGGTGATAAGCTCTAGAGTGATCTGTTCACAGTTTTATTCAGCGTAGAACAACAAATTCAATAGTTCAAAACAACTGTTCTGCTACCTCAATTATCAAGAAAATGGCACTAACACATTAACTACTTGAACTATTGATACTGAAGCAGACAAATGCTACATACTGGGATGCTAAAGGAAGGAAGACGTGAGATTACACAGCTATTATCCTCTACAGAACTGTGCTCTCTGAGCATAAAACCTTGTGAGATAACACTCACTGAAAATGGTCCTTGACACCACCCTGAGCTATGGCTGCCCAGGATAAGTAAAATCACTGCATTTAGAAAAGTGCTTCTCTTTCCTTGCCGTTCACTGTTACTGCATTCCACCACTAAAACTGGAGTTAGCAGAAGAATGCTCATCCTCACAAGTACAAATCTTTGTACAAATATTTACAATTACAAACCAGAATACCTCTATTACGACATAATTAAGTTCAGTCATAATCAAGTTCTGGATCGCAAAATAAATGGTCCTAAAGATGTAAAAAACAAAAACAAAAAATAAAAAACAAAAAACAACAACAAAAAAACCTGAAAGTAAGAAATGTAACTTAGTAGAAATATGTGTTAGAAAGTCTGTCTAAACTTTACAAAAGTTGCTTCAGAAAGGAGTAAACACTTTAAAATAAGACCATTCAAATAATTCCGTACATGAACAAAGCATGCAATCAAAAATTCAAGTCTTGCATGAAGTAGGAATGCAGCTTTTTTTTTTTTTTTTTTTTTTTACTTATTTGCATATAATGATATTAAAGTATGTGCAAAAATGTCTGTTTTTGACAAACACACTAATCAAATGCTACTAAACTACTGAACTAAAACCAGGAAGGAGAATCCACAAACAACTTATTTTCCTTAGATGTCCAAGTTCTCTAATACCAGAACTACATTTGTAGATGATTTTTTTCGTCACCATAAAATAAAGGTCATTTCAATCTCTAGGTGAAATACTAGGACTATAAGGGTGAATTTAGATAGTTCATTGTTCATAAACCTTTAATCCTACAAAAATGTCACAGAATGCATGTTCTAAAGATACGCAAAACCTTGCCATTCTACTTAGATGAACATTAAAGTAAAAGATTCTACAAATGCATTTACAGAACACTATTGCTTTAAAAAAAGGTGTTAGGAGATTTTTTAGGATAAACAAAAATAATGTATCACAAATCTTCGTGCTACTGTAGCATATACTTCCAGAAACAGAACAAAAATAAACTAGTTTACCAAGAAATCTAGTATTTGCATGAGATATCCTGTTTTTTGTTTAAGTTATCTAAGCACAGCAGAGTCTCTTGCCTTTCCCTTGGACAGCTCACGTACCCATCATTTACAGTAAGACTGATTTTTCTTTGCATCCTGGCAAGAGCCTGACTACTTACTTAAATGAGTCTTTACCTGGCTTATTTGGACTATGTTGATTTTTAAGGAATGACTTTGCATAAAGAATAAGGACAAAAAATTACCTTAATATTTTCTCTAGTTCTTTTCGTCTACTGTGATGCCAATAGAAATTACTGCAACTTATTAGAGAATTTGGGATTTGATCACCTTTTGTAATATGGCAGTTTCGACAGAACTGCAGAATGAGTCAGTTTGTTTCTGATCAACTGCTGTTTGTTGTAAAACCTCTTTTACAGGTAAATACTTTAAAAGAAGTGTGAAAACAGCTGGGGTTTGGAAATCATTTTGGTATGATGGTAGTTTACAGAACAATTGTCAATTCCTAAAGTTGAAGTTGACCTCAAAAAGCACATTACACACAGAGTTGGAATAAAACCATTGCCTTCCAGTGCTTAGCATTTTGTGACAGGAAGGATGAATTATTAATCCAATTAACATCACAAGTACATTTGAAGCAGTATTTTTTTCTATTAAATTCACAGATTTTTTTCTTGTATGGCATTGCTGAAGAGTAAATTATGACAATAATTTATTGTTACTTAATAAACATTCATTACGAATGACAGAATACCTAATAACATATTATTAGTACAACAAAAATGAATGAGAAAGATAATACTCAAAAACCCTCAGGCATTTACTTGCACAAACTAAAAAATTCCTTGATAGATGAGCACTATCTGAAAGTGCAAGCAGTCACCAAACCACTGTTTGTATTACAAATGTAGAATACAAGTAGATGCAGAACTACAGTATGACAGTAAAAACATTTATAACAAATCTTAAACCTTTAAGATTATTAAAAACATTTTGTTGATAAGTGCGAGTAAATGAAAGGAGAAATCATGTTGGAAAAATACTGTTTAAATCAATTAACGGCTGAAAGAAACAGTGAAGTTGATCTTTAAATATTCTTTGAGCATGATTATCTGGTATCATCAACTGGTATTGATAAAGGAGTTCTCTAATAATGGAATCATGATGTGCACCTAAGCACCCAAAATTATGGATCTGGGCAGGAAATGCTTAAAAACAGAATCTATTTGTCCTTGGAAAACATATTTCATATAATTAATATACAATGGGTCAAAACTGCCTGGGATAATTATATTACAGAACAAATCAGTGAAATAACTTAAAACATTTCTGAGGGTAACCCGGGAAAGGCTGAAAAACAAAATTTTAATAATTTACTTCAAATGTTTGCAACATTACTTAAATACTACTTTGTCTGCCTACTTAATGCAGTTTGTATTAACACAATACATTTAAGTCATGATCTGCTTTAGCTGAATCGCCCTTTATAAGGCAAGATTTTGAATTATGAAACCTCATCATATTTTTAGTAAATGAGAGGTACTGATTTCTCAGTTTGCAAGGCGTGTGTTTGCATTGACAGCAACGCACTGAACTCTCCTGGCCCTGGGACTGAAGGTGCATCTGATGGCACTCAGAACACTGGGCCTGGATCAAGCTCCTAATAAACTGAATACATCACCAAACCTACGTTTTTCTTCCTATTATATGATGCAATTATTTTAATGTTCAGCTTTGTATCCCACTCCATGAAAATGAGCACTTGAGTTGAAGTGGTAAGTCACTCTATGTTGAATATTCCCCACAGATTACACATATATCCTCTCTCTGAGGATTACACCACTGAAGAGTAGCACCATTTATCACCAATTCATTTATATCATCTTAATGAGATAAGAATGCAATCCTCTTCTGCATCTGTCAATAAACTCTGGAGAGTCGATATTTACCATTTCCTTTAATGCTTCAATTTGTATCAAGCTTAAATCCCTTTTCACAGAAAAATAAGAGGGATACTTAAAGCAATTCTCTGTAGAAAGCCCTTGGTATGCTAATACCATGGAGTAATTTCAGTTGAGATAGATTTTTGCATTAATGTAATTACCTGAAAATGCAGGTGAGTTTGTTCAAGCTTACCGTCCTGATTTACATATCAAAGTCTAGATATAAAAGTTACAACATAACCTTTGAAAACTTAGCCATTAAAAAACTTGAGTTAAATCAAGGAATAGACAGGCTTTTCAAACCAAATTTAGGTAACTGTATTAAAGCAACACTAGAAAACTAACTAACCCCCAATTGGTTACATAAGGCTATATCTATATCTATACAGACACAAATGCATATGACGTATGTATAAAACATGAAACTAGAATACGAGTTTCTAGAGACACTAGAAAACAGAAGTAATTTTCAAGCCCTCAAAAACAGTGCAGATTTTGTCTTTACTAGTTTAAACGGGAGGATGTTGACCATCCATTAAGGCAATTTCCACTCAAGGAAGCCTATGACCTATCTGAATCCATAAGTACAGAATCATTACAGAAGTTCAAGGGCAGCAGGTAAGACTTATACTCATCCTGTAGGAGGCATCTGGTGTTAATCGCAAAATGAGTACAAAGAAAACAGAAAATATGAAGTTAAACTTCGCAAATTGAAGACTTGTAAAATTTATTTTCTTTACATAAGGAATTTGATATAGCACAATATAGCACGATATATTTGATATAGCATCTAACACGATTCCTTAGGCACAGGTATCTGCCACCCATAAATGAAAAAATGACACAGAGAATTACTCTACATCTTCAGTCCATATGTAGGTTCTCAAAAGAATCCATCCCCAAAATTCAAATGTCATACCTGACTGTTAGGAATATTATGAACACACTTCTATTTTACATCTACTTTACACACATTTTCTGTCAACAAAATCAAGATTCCCCTGTGCTTGGCAGAGGGAAGTGGTGTTTTTTACCCACTCTTCCATGCGGATGCCATCACAGACGTGCGGTACCTCCAGCACCTGCTGCAGGCCACATCCCTCGGGCTTTTTGCCCTGCTGGCATCAAAGGTCAGGAATATCATTCATTTGCAAAGGAAATATCCTTGGATGAAAGACACTTAGAAGTGGTTTTGGGTCTGTAAGAGCTGACTGACAGCTGAAAGATTAGTCTACTGCTACTGCTGCAGTATTTTCTGCAGAAACATTGGTGTAATAGAAGCTCAGTCTTACTAACCCTCCTAACTTAAAGGAAAGAGCCTGCTACAAAAATTTAAGTACTGTCCTTCGCCATCATATTTAATACCTAGTCAAATAATCTAAACTTACAGTATTTATAAAGAACACATGCAAAGATCACATTATTTTTAGATCAGCAGTAACATTTCCTTAGCAATTCTGTATAAAGAATTCTGATTCTGTAAGGCCACCTAAAATAGCCCTAGGTTATAACCTCCCACACACATTTCTCTTGTGACTTCAGCAATATGTCCATTCACAAACATCAAGCTTTTTTCTTTTTTTTTCCCCATACAAAAGAAGATATGCAGTTAAAAATCTAAAGGGATAAAGAATATTTCCATTTTTAAATATTTTCTCGTCTCTGTGGAAATTCAGTCGCACATTAGCTGTCTTTGGCCTGACTATCTATATCTTATGCTTTCCAAGCATTTCAAAATCATAGCTTTCTTTAAATTACAGGTTCTCTATATATGCTTATTATATCTTTTCTTCTTTCACCTATAAAAAATAAATAATTAAATAAACAAGCTTTATGGTATTCATTCTCTCCAAGCCTCTAACAGATTTGTTATTTCTCTGTGTTCTCTCAAAGACTTGGCTGAGTATCTCAGTGTTTTGCATGGAAAGGCATTAGTAATTTAATCTGACATTCAAAACATTTGAATAAAGTCATTATCAGATAGAGATTTTAATTTAAAAATCAACACATGCTATTATGGACAATCAGAGCAGAAAAGTAAATCAAAAGCAATTTGTATCATGTAATCTTTGGCTTTGATTACTTACTATCAAGCCACTATTACTTTGTCTTCTCTCTCTGTCATGAAGTTTTTTGTAGAAAATCCCTCCTGGGTTAAACTGAGTACTCCAAACAATCATGTTCCCTTGATAATATCCATCCATTCCAGTTATCCTTGAATTATGTTCAATATGTGATATTTGTTGATGAACATCACTGTAGTTGAATGGATATGTAAAACCCAGGATGTCAGTGTCATTAGCAACATAGAGAACTTGATCTTCAGAGCCTAGGGATTATTATAATGAAACAGAAATAAGGTAAATGTCAACTAATATAAAAGTACTTTTTGCATTTACACAGCTTTGTGGAATTTATCTGATACAATTTCTTATATTAAAATTGCTTGTTTACTTTGCAAAAACAGCCACATCCTGGATAATAACTGCAACTTCATACTTTGATATCATTAAGTGACATCGGTCTCTCCACACTCATACTATGACACCTGTTTATATTGAATGTAGAAGGTAATTTAAGAATTGAAATAATTCAAGTGACATATAGAGAGCAGGGGTTATTTCACATTAAAACTGCATATAACTTGCAATTCATTTTTATATACATGTGTGTCTAAATGTCTAACTTATATATGTTGCAGCAATCCATACACGATCATAAGCACTAAATTGCTCAAAAAATTAGAAGTGGATGATGCCATCTTCAGTGAAGACGGTGAATTTTGAAACTGACTGCAACAGGACTGTAACTGGACCAGGGCTGCTAAAGAATATAATACAGTATACATTATAATACAAATAATGCAGTAATACACTAAATGTCAGGACTTCAGATAGCTACCACTCAGAGATACTTGTGATATGGATTATCTGGATACAGGTTGCACAAATATAAATAGTGTTCCCAAAATAATCCCAGTAGGTATGCCCAAAGTTTTGAGAAAGTTGAGCACTTTCTGGGTACATTAGAAAACATCTTACCAAACTATGCAGTAATCTGTCTATCAGCACAGAGCTATGGCCTGTGGGTGCAGCTACATGACTGACTAGGGTGCTCCAAAGGAGGAAGAACTGGGATTAACATGATGCAATGTGTTATGGTTCTAGGATTGTATGTGCTCAACGTGTATTTAAGGGCAGTAAAATTTAGATCAGTTACTGCTGCTGGGTGTGCACCAGGTACACACAGAATCACATCTTGTAACTTCAGCATTGGTTCCTAGACGAAGACTCAAAGGGTAGATGGAAGTCAAATTCACCCCAGTGTCTCACTAAATCACAGGCAGGATGCCATGATCACACTTTCAGTTATTCAGCTATAGGCCCATAAAGATGATCTTAATTTTATTGAGGCAGCTGGATTACTGCTTGTTTTATTTGTAAAGTGATTTTAAAAGTTATGTAATGCCCAGATTTATCTATTACCTATATTTTGTGCAATAAATCTGTCTTATTAAAGGGAAAAATGCCATATAAGTGTGCATATTTCTTTACTTTCACTGGAGCATGCATGTCTAGGCATCTGATTTATACGAGACACCTATCTTCAGTAAACAACTTGTCTAAAATTTTCCAACAAGACAAAGCACACTGTGTCAAGTCCAAATACTTTATTTCTGAAGTATTTAAAATAACACTTCCATGAAAGAAATTATTCTTTTCCTCAAGCTTCTAAAACTTCACAAGAATGCTTACATGCCTGGTAATATATAACCTCTGCTTTTCTTCTTTGTGTATATTTAAATGTAAAAGGTGGAAGCTGCAGTTGGAAAAAAAAAGTGGCACACATAATGGACTTGCATATTAAGTATGTCCATGTACATGGAAATGATAAGAATGATTTTTATGTATTATTCAAGATACGTATACATAAAATGCACTAGGAATGCAACAGACATTAGTGTTAGCAACTACATAAGCAACAAACTAAATAATGAAGTATTGTCAATCCATTTTATTATAGCTTACCTTTTGCTATGCAACTGTTATTCCTTTCCTTATAATTTTTCTCACATATGCATTTATATGATCCTTTAATATTATTGCAGTGCTGTGAGCAAGCACCAAATATCATGCACTCATTGATATCTATGAGAAAAAATATATATCTGTAGTTCAATACATTATTATGTAACATATTCTGAACATCATGAAACAATCCAGTAGAATAAAATGAACTCATAAGCACTTTTATTTGCAACAGTATTAGGAAATCTTTCCACTGCGATCACTATGTCATTCCCACTGCAACCAATGTCTATCAGGAAAATTATTTTTGTATTATTTCTCTATCCTTTTTATATCACTCAATTAACCTTAGAACTTGAAGCTAACTTTGAGAATGAAAACGTCTGTTATAATTTTCTCCAACATAACTGTCTCATTCAAAATAAAAGCTACATGATCACCTCATGATGAAAAGCCTCCTGTGTATACCTTTTTCTCGAAAGCCAAATAATGAAGCTTTCATATGTAAGCATCTCTTCACTTTGACAGTCTCAGTGAAGTCATCTACACTATTTCTGTGCATGATTCATTCATCAGGAAGATTTTCTTTTCTTTGAAAGGCAGATCAACTCCTGTAATAACTATGTCTGCTTTCAGGCCAGTGGGATACCATGTATATTAAGGCTGCCTATTTTATTTTCAACCCATTATTTACATTCTGACTTTTGGTTTTATAGGTTTTCGTCTTGTTAGGTACCTCAAAATATTCTCATATACCTAGTCTAGACCAACTCATATTGCTCTGTTCAATATTCTACTAGATGTTAAATCATCCGTTTACACATTAAATTATAAAATCATTCAAGGATCTGACCTGTACCTTTTGACTTTCAAAGATTGCATTAATTTTTGATAACATCTCCAGGTAAAACGCATAAACCTATTTTCACTACATACTCCCTTCAGTTATCTTGATTTCTTAATCCCATAGCTATGAAAACATTTTTACACAGAGAAAAAAAAAAAAAAGTATGTGAAATATATCCCCTTCTCTAACATAGACTACCCAGATCACATTTAATCCTTTTCAGCAAGGAATGATGTAACAGTCTGTACCTTCGCATTGTCTGTTCCTCTGGTTTCTCTGAAATCCAGGTTTACACTGACAAAATAGGGCTCTGTCTGTTTGATTGCAGTATGCATCATCTCCACAAGGATTCACATTATCTTCACATGTATATTCAGTGACACCTAAGCATAAACAAAAACATCTCAAAAAATGCTAATAGATTTCTTTAAACTTCAAAAAAAGGCATCTAAAAGAACAACAAATTGCCTGTCAAACTTATCTTTGGTTCCGTTAAAATAGCACCATGTTATATTTTAAATAAATATATGAGACTACACTGTTTGCCTACATATGCAGGTAGATACTATTTAATCAATATTCTTTGTTTCAGAAGGTGAATTTAATACTATAAGATTATCTTGACACAGATAAGAAACAAAAAGCAATCTAAACCTGAACTACTAGAAAAACTCAAGAATTACTCTAAAAACTACCACAATTTGAACTGCTATAAATTTTTGCCATGCTTTTATGGTATGTCAAAAAGAATGAACACTTCATTATTCTGCTCTTTTGCTTGTTTGTTTTCTGTATATTTTAAACAAAATACTGTGTATGGCTGCCAATATACGGTGCAGATGTTTTCTTTATGTTATATTTTGGTTTTGTTGAGAGGTTCTGCAAGGCAGAAAATTTCATTTTATCACTTCTTCCCTGCTGCAATAAGGAAAACATAGGTTGTTAACCAAACTCACTTATTTTGCAGTCTTGCTCATCTGAGCCATCTTCACAATCATTAAACCAATCGCACTGTAGTTCCATTGGAATACATTTCTTATCATCACAAGTGAACTCATCCTTTTTGCAAGGTCTTGCTTTATATGTGATTTTATCTATATAATTACAAACGAACAGCAACCAAAATAAGTCAATATTTGGAATATTTGCATTATCTACATATACAAATGAACCATTAAGCAGTGGGAAATTATTTAAAGCTTAATTTATTTCAGTTTTCAATTCTCATCTATTAACCTCCAGTTAAAGTTTAATGCAAAATAAGCAGACTTCTGTAATACAGTTTGCCTTCAAGTTGTTTTCTTTGATCTGAGTACCTTGAAAGGTATTATCACTTACTGCAGTGATCTTCATCCGAGTTATCACCACAGTCATCAACCTCATTGCAAATCTGTTCAGGTCGCAGACAAACCCTGTTGTTTCTACATCTGTATGGCCTCGTAGGAGGACATGGAAACTTTGCTGTATTAAAACAAACAGAAGGAGAATCAGCTAGCACCCAGCAAGCACTCTTAAACCTGCTTTAGTGCCTGCCTATCAATGTAAAAAGCAATCATAGAAACAAAAAAGTACAACTTGCCATATGAGTGGTACTTGATTTTACACCTCTGGTATTTAATGAAGCAATATTTGAATATTTACAGTATACTCTTTTCATTTCTAAAATGAATTTTTAGGCTAATACCTATTTTGAGAATCAATAAGTGCAATGTAAATAAAGGAGGTAGAAGATCTAACATTGTTCTACATTTTAGAGTAGAATTACCTTTTGTCCATCTGTGCAGTTATTACAAAAAATAGATTTTTCACAAATTTATCTGAAATTATAATAGCAGTAGTAAAAATAGAAAACTACATGAAACTGAATATGCTTACCAACAAATTGCATCAATGAATGCATAGAATGTCTGTTGTTCAACAGAATTTCGAAGTTAATTATGGCTGTAAAGTTAAGTATAGCTGTAAAGAATACTCTCAATATTGGTTTTGTAGTAAAACCTGCCTGAATTAATTATGAATAGACATTGTAAAATCTAAGTAGCAATTTTTCTTAGAATTCTGGGACTTTTAATTTTACATTTGGGTAAAACTGCATATGTATAGATTAGGTGACAAAAAGTGGTGCTATATTCTTCTTGACAAGTCTACTATCTAAAAAATGATGCATTTTGGTTTATGTATTTTCACATTTTTTGCTATTTCTAAAGCTTTGCAATCATAAAATACTTTGAGTATATACTACATAAAGTCAGTGTAATAATGTACTCAGTGAAATGTCTGTTACAAAACCGTTGTTCTCAGAACAAGCAGGCATTTATCTACTAGATAAGTGTAATTAACAGAGGCACCAAAAAAGAGAGGTATTCTTTGAGGTTTCGTCTAAAATTTTCAATGAAGTAAAGACTGTGAACAATTCCTACTGAAGAAAACAAAATTATATACAATTTCCCATTCTATGAGTTTTCACTGGTATAGATTAATAGATACATATATTAAACACTTGCCATTTATAGAATATTATTCTGCTTCTATGCCTTTATTTCAAGCTGCTCCTACTCTTTTAAAAGCCAAATAAGTAAAGGTTGGAACTTTGATAGATGTTGCATAATCTTTCTAAATTGCTTACTTGCTTTATTAAATAAAAAGCACTGGAAAAATTGGTGCCATACCACACATTTCAGCAACTTCATCAGAGTTATCTCCACAGTCATCCTCTCCATCACAGACCCAAAAATGTAGTTTGCAGAGGGAATTGTTGCACAAAAATTCATCAGCTCTGCATATATTTCCCCCTGGGAGGATGGACAGAAGATAAGAAGGAAAAGAGGAGAGCAGAAAGACAAAAGAAAATCAGTACAGCTATTTATCACATTCTATCCCCAGTGAATGAAACATATGTCGTACCTAAACGAACCAAATCTCAAATGAAAGAGTTGAAGAGACAAAGACTCAGAGACAAAATCAGAGAGCTGAAGAGACAAAATCTACTCCTTAAGCAAACACTTCTTTCCCTTTTTGCTAGCTAGTATTTTGCTCTTTCACCTGCTTCCCTAATTGGCCTGGCAATTATCAAGGAAAGACATTAAAAACTCACTAGCTAGGCATGTTCCCCTTGTATTTAGCCAGAAGATAAATATCCTTCTGTCTAAATCTTCCTCTGGTGAAGCTGCCTTTCAGATAAGAAATGGTTGGGTACACCCCTACTTTGTGCTATCAGAGAATGGTATAAACCAGAACAACACAGAATGGGCCCATCTGTGAAAAGCCACTTGAGGTTTATTTCCTATGAATGCCTGATGCTCTACCTAGTCCTGCTCGCAGTCTCACTGAAGCGCATCTCATCTTCAGAGGGATAAAGCGACTGAGAAATCCCTTCTCCATGAGCTTTTTTTTCCTTCTGAGGTGTGCTGTGCTTAAGCAGGCTTGTAATGACCCACCAGCCCCAACTGTGAGAGAAGACCTGGCCTTACTGGGAAAGACAGTCAGACTAGGCGACCTCTCTCTTTTGGTAATTGCTGTCCCCATTGGGATTTTTGGTGAGCACAGAATGCATCAAGAATAAAGTCCTCCATGCAATGTGAGTGTTGAAAGCACTGATTTTACCACTCCCGATCAATTAAGTTATGACAACTTCTTGGAATTCACTTTCTACATGCTTTCCAGGATTGATTCTCAAAGTTTCCTGAGAGGAGCAGAGTCTAAGAGAAATGAAGCTGAGCACCTGCAGAGGAGGAAACACTACAATTTTACATGATAGCACCAGAACTGTCACCATGGCTTACCCAAAGCACTAAACACATCCAAAGATTGGATCAATCTTCATCAGCTTTTGCTTATTGATTCAGTACCATATTCATGGCCTCACCATGACCAATAAGAGGTATTCTTTCCGTATAAAGGGTTCCAATTTTTTTTTTCCAAAAAATTCATCTATATCAAATACACAGCATGCAATAGGGTGTAAAGTTCACATTACATCATTGGCTGTGATTCACTCCCAATTGCAAGCATAACTTAGGAGCGTTAACAGAAATATTAAAATATTTATTTTTGTTAGTGGACAAATACACACAATTCAAAAACACAAATCAATTACTTTAAATATTCAATTTCAACAATTCAGATGGTCAAATATATACAATTCACATATTCAATTGAAATACTCCTATTAATGTAAAAATATGTACAATTCAAAATGGAAAGACATGAATATAGACTAGATTGTAATCACATTGAAACTGTAGCTCTGTTTGTACATTAAGGTTTTAAAAGGCTGTTTTTTCTTTTTTTAAATACACTTGGCTAGAAATATATACTACAAGATTGATTTTAGAATACTTTAGAATAAAACTCCTTTTGTTTTTGCTGTTATTTCTAATGAGGAAAAAATAATTTTTCTAAAGTACCCGTGAGATAAACTGGCATTTGTTCTATGTAACTGTTCTGTCATAATTCTTTTATAGACTAGATTTCTTCTAAGAAAAGATCATAATTGTAACATAAATACAAAGTATTATAGCAATAACCAGCTAGACAAAAGGCTTCTTATTATATGATAAACAATTTGTATTTCACAGAAGTGCCATTATGCCACCCAAAGAATAATGTGGGCTTCAGATAAAACAAAAGTGTTGCTCTTATTTATACTTCGTTGGTTTTAAAGAGATACAGAGAGATAGATATTTTAAAATTCAGTTTTGAAAAACACTTAAAGAGGTCTCCTTTTATACCTAACAGTCTTTGCAACATTCTTCCGGCTTTCTTCACTTTTGGATCTCTTTTTTAAACATAAAATCATTCCATGTAGCTTCGTTTTTTTCTGAGTTGTAAGTACAGGTTAATAGATTTAGGACAAAATAAAGGGAGAATATCATACTTGGCAGTTGCACGTTTTTCCTCTGATTGTGATTAGCTGTTGCTGTACTGTGTTATGCTTTTGAAACTACAGGTGTATTACACAACTGCAGATGCCTATTCCACAGTGAGGCTAACTTGGAAAAATAGAAAAGGACTACTAGTTGCAAGATCATTCATACAGAGCAAAGAAGATATCAGAATACTGAACAAAATTTTGCTTTATTTATTTATTTATTTTTAATTCTCTGTCACAATTACTGAATTTCTACAACAACCAAGAATTCAGGATGGTGCAACTATCTGGTAGATAAAATAACATTCAGATAAAAAAATAGATTTTAATTTTTTTTGCGTAGTCCAGCCCTCAGGAGAAACACTATGGGTAGCTTCACTAAGGATGTTTAATGATGTAGGTAGTAATATACATATTGCAATTCAACATTGTGTGTGTGCGTATATATATATATATGCATATGTATGTAAATATATATGCATGTGCAATTGAAAAAGTCTTGTTAGATCAGGTTACGCGAATATTTAGCAACTATTGGAATTAGATTAATAATGCATTTCCCAAGAGCATATCTGGAAACCTGCCCGTAAGCATGAAAGTTTGAGCACGAGGTTTACCTTCATATGAATCAACTTATGTTATGGGCTCAGTTCTGTTCTGTGAGGAAACTGAGAATTCAAGTGTGATCTTGTAAGTTCTGGTTGCTAAGAACACAAAAACTCTACACAGAGGTAGATAGAAAACTGGCTCTTAAATTTATTTAGTCAGCAATTTGTCATTAAACTGCATGGATTTGTAAATTATTGCTACTTGTAAAAGCATTGTAAATTAACAGGATTTATATGCTGTCAGTAATAACACATAACCCTCTTTCGATTCTTGAGAAAGGTAAACTGAGGGAGGAGAAATGAGTTGCCAGTTATAAAAAACAAATTTGGTTTCCTTATCCAGCCATTTATGAAACACTGCACTGTATTTGTCAAAAGAAGTCATGGGGCCTTCACTTCATCACTCAAAACACTCACAGTATTCCTAGCTTATAATGTGTCTTAATACCAATAAATAAATAAACAAATGAAGTAAGCCTTTATAAAGAAAAGTGTGTCTCGCCTTGGTCACAGTTTTCTTCGTCACTGCCATCCACACAGTCCTGGATTCCATCACACAGCCACCGGATGGGGATGCAGTGGGCCTTATTTTTGCATCGAAACTGATCTTCTTTGCATTCGGTTACACAGTCCATCTGCGAGAACACACACGGGCACTGAATACCAATTAACAGTAACACTGACAACATACTTGCAAATACAACGTAGTTCACTGATACTGTTTCATTACCCAGCTATTTAATGCAACCTAGTTGTTCCTTGCTAGGGACAGTGTAATTTAAATAGTTACGAAACTCCAAGGGAATTTTAATCATGCTTTGTATATTCTCATATGTTCTCGCTTATGTTGTTTAGTATTAGCAGTGGGAACAACGGTTAAAAGACTTAATGTGAAACAGCACAAAAAATTCAAGCGCTCTGTGCCCGTTACCTCATCAGATCCGTCGGCGCAGTCGTACTCCCCATTGCACTTCAGAGCTGCCGAAATGCAGCCTCCACTTGCACACACATACTCACTTGAAGAACATGTTGGAGATGCTAATTACAAACACATATTTTAGCATTAAGAAAAATACAATTTATAAATGAGCTGCTTTATAATTTAATGTTTTCATCTGGTTAAGCCTAGTGAATAAACATTTATTTGTAGCTGACAAGAATTTTCCTAACTTTCAGAAAATACAACTACATTTTTGACAAAGCGAGCTTGCCCTACGTAAATTATATGATGATAGTGAAAGGATGTTTTTGTTTACGATTAACATTTTTTTTCTGTTTTCCTTATGCTTAGTAGTAATGAAAAATACAATGCATATATCAATATAAGTACAAAATATCACATGTTTAAAATATAACCCCCAAATTTACACAAATGCATGTAATTAAATAATCTTAATTTACAGAACAATTATTACAATAGAATTAATACTCATTAATCATAGTTTCATTTAAACTATAGAAGGAGGGTGGGGTTTTTTGCATTGGAAATCAGGGAAGTTTTGCCATGGAATTCTTTCAGCTGTAGTGATCTAAACAAGACCTATTAAAAATTGGCAAAATTCATTGAAACAAGTGCATTTTCCACAAAGGTAAAAAGGAAAGAAAACTGTAAGAGCAAAAATGATAATTTGCTAGAGAAATGCTTTGCATGAGGACAGATAAAAACAGACCCCAAAGCAAAAAATCCCCAGTGGCAATTTAGTAACACACCAAAAATTAGTCCTCTTTATCAGAGAGGAATTTGGTAAGCTGGATATACATTATCAAATTCTGCCACAACCAAACTTACATTGCATGGCTGCTCATAAGCAGGGTTTTCAAAACATGAGTAAGAAGGCAAAAATTCAAATGAAAGAGGAATTTCAGATCTATTTGCCTTCCTCTCTACTTCTGGTATGCAAAGTATCTTGGTTTGCTGAGTTGCTTTCTCCTTGTTTCACTCTGTTCTATCCCTTGTTTTATTTATTCCTACAGAACTATTCTCAGCTTTATTTAAGCAATACCTGGTTCACAATTTCTCTCATCATCCCCAAGCTTACAGTCTTCATGACCATCACATTTCCATTTTGCTGATATGCACTGACCATTGGAACACTGGAACTGATCTCTTGAACAGCCTGTTTCACAATACCTCTGTTACAATTATAAAAAAAGGCATACATGAGATCAAGAGTTTAATGTGTTGATAAATATACAGATGATCAGAAGTTAGAGAAGTTAGAGAACAGAATTTGCCATACTACGAAATACTTTAATAATCTGTAACATAAAATGTGTTTGTGTATAACACCTATGCAATGTGGCTTGCACTCTCTAAGTAGGAGGTAAACACCTGAGGTGCAGAAGGATTAGAAGAGAGAGGAAGGAGCAGAAAAAGAGAAAGAAGAGAAAAATAGCAAAGCCAATAATCAGTGAGTTTTTGCAATACAAGCAATAGGCCCCACAATTTTTTTTAAAAAATTTACTTTTATATTCAGTTTCATGTATAGAATTCAGCAATGGCTTTTAAAATATTCATATGAGGGAAAATATAGTGCTAGAATTTTCAACACATTTTTTTTTTTTTTGCCTGGAAGAAGGCTACCTCATCTGAGCCATCTGCACAGTCATAGTCTCCATCACACCAGAATCTTGCTGAAACACAATCTCCATTGGCACAGAGCAAGTCTTTCAATGAACATGTCTGAGGCTCTGAATAAAGAGAAGAAAAAGTAATAACCCTAGGTTTATTAGTATTTCCATGCAATGTTTTCATATATATATATAAGTCCCCAAATCAATGATTATAAACAAGTCAAAATCAGTAACTCTTCAAATACCTTAAGGATTGTTTCTACTGTGAGATTCTGTTTCATAACTCTTCATAACTAAATTTCATTTTCTAATATAATAAAACAATCATGCAAATACCAATGGGTCTCTCAAATGTCTTTTGAAAACTGTAAGTGATGCTGGATACATAAATGTTATTTATTTTAATAAGTTTTTGACTAGAAATTAAACTTGTTTTGAACTGATAATAAAGGATGTAAGCAGGAGTACACAGCGCTCTCATTTGGAGTCATACAACAGTATACTTTTCATCCCATACCTTTTCACACCCCTTTATGTGAAGAATTAGTTACCCCTGTATTAAATGCTCAGAGGAACAGTGTTGCTATGGTAAATGCAGTGCCTATAAAACAAGGTTTGGAGTTTCAAGAGAAGCAATTCAGTCTTCCAGAAATTAACTACAGAAGAAAGTATGAGAATCACCCACTGATTTAAACATGGTTAGAGAATTAACAGAGCAAGAGCATAGTGAGTTGCAAAAGCCAATGGACAGTGTAATTTCAGGAAAAGAAAAATACACTACTGTCAACATGCTGGAAAACCCAGAAAAAAAAAAAAGGAATAAAGGCAAGGCCAAGGATGGAATTCCACGTCATTTCAGGAAAACCAAAAGGGAGATATTAGATAAGAAGAATCTAAGGAGCTAACAGACGGGAAGGATACAGTAACAGATGGAAATTAAATCAGACATTTCATGATAAATTAAAACTTTTTTTTTCTTTCTGTAGAAGGAAACGAAACACGGTAGGGAGGTCAGATGTCATTACAGATGGTGTATACTGAAGAGGAAAAATAGACATGAAGTTAATTCAAGGCACAGGGAAAGCAAACAGTAGAAGCAGGCTGTGCAGGGCAGTGAAAAGGAGGGATTGGTGATTCCAGCCTATTTGCTCTCCTCCATGCACAAGCCCTGAATTCTGCTGTTGCTGCCACCACAAGATGGGAAAGAGGGATCCGCAGGGGAGAGTGTCTCAGCAGATGACCATGTCCTCTCCACCTGAGGATGAGAAGCAGCACCCAAGACACCTGAGAGAAAGAAGCAAAGGCCTGGGCTCTGCACCACTGGTTACAGTAGTGCAGGTGGCTGAGCAGAATTTAACTCTCTATGCGATCTAGACTTCAGCAGTCATACAGTTATGTGACAGTAGGACTGGAAGGGCAAACAAGGATTATTTGAGAGGATCTTTGCATCACAGCAAACACTGAAGTGCACAAAAAGTGTAAAATCAAGTGTAAGGATTATTTGGCAGGACCTTTTCAACAGAGAGATAGGAAGAACTCAGGCAAATGGCAAACAATTTGGTGACTAAGCCAAATGGTGTGAAAAGGGAAAGACAGAGCAGACTGTGGCAACAGATGCCAATGGATGGGCCACATCCAATGAAGGGTTCTTTAGCTGGTTTTGGAGACAGAGGCATGCATGGTTTTAAAAAAGATAATCAGTGAACAGATAAATGCAACTTCAAAAGCTTCTAATAAAGAACGTGGTTGAGTACCAGCATGAGAGCTTATCAGGGTAGAACATAGGGTGCTTTTTGTTAGAATAGTGTGATTTACAGAAATCAAAAATGGTTTCAAAAAAGGAGTAGATTTCATGAACATTTCAGGCTTTCTTTTTTATATAAACTTCATAAAAATAAAGTTAAAATGTGCCCATTTGAGACAAATTACACTTCTTAGGTGAGCATAACTTTTCATTTTGAAATTGCAAGTAAGTCATAATAAAAGCAGATCTACAACAATTGCATCAGCTCTCCAGCAATCTTATTTTCAAGCAAATGAAAGGTTAGCATTTATATGGATTCTTCAGATTATATACATACGTCTAATTTTTTTCTAAGTAAAAGCTCAATGTATAAATGTTTGTGAATCACTGACATTTAATTTCTTTTGTTCTCAACAGGCCATGAAGGGGAGGTAGAAAATATGATAAATTATGTAAAGGAAATAATTTGTGAAAAAAGTAATTCACATGCAAATAAACATTTGCCATGTTTCTATATTGATTTGCAAAATATAAGCAAATACTTTTTCTATACTACTAATGAATTATTTATAAGTAGAGATTTGATTCTAGAAAAATGCACACAATGAACTAACTTCTCATCTCTCTGTCTGCAAGAAATATTTCTGCTGCTGGAATACAACTCCATGATTTACATATGAACACACTACAGTAGAGTACTTTCCCATCAGTGTTCATACTGTTATTGAAAGGAATAAGTATTCATGTATCCCTGTATATGCAATAAAGGACAGCATCTTTCAGCTTCTATTTTATAAAAACACCCAAAGTCCTTCCCGAGAAGGCATTTTTGAATGATTAGAAAGAATTTTATTTGAAACTTAGCACATTAAAATATGAAAAAATATCATTTTAAGTCTGAAAATAGTCTGTACAGCCTACAAAAAGATTTGTCATCAACTTAAATGGTAGCAAGAGCAGAATCTCAAGGGAAACATTTAAAATAATTTCACATTTGAGGCTCAATTTTGCATTTAATGAGCATATATATTGCAATATGCCATGAATTGGAAGGATTTCGTTAGGATATTATGATCAATGCACTTCTATATCTTTTCTTAAAAGTATCTGATATACTTATGCTGCACTTTTTTGCCCTTTTCTTTTTTCTGTTTGCTCTTATTCAGAACTCTATCTCGTAACAACTGTTACAAAGCCAACATTAAAAAATCTGTATAAATCAGGAAGGTGCAACACATATGCAGAGAAAAACAAAGAGCAGCAGCACAAACATGGGATAGGAGCGCCTTAGCCAAAATGAATTCATGTACATCGACCTCTTCATCCCAGCATCTGGCAGCAGAACACACAGAGGAATTAAGGTACATACATAGGTCACACTTTATTTCTAGCCACTGAGGCATAAGATACAGATTATCTCTAGTATATCACCAAAATATACTGTTAGGTACATACTTTATGGAGAGGGTAATTAAGGTACCTAGTAAGGAACAGCCATCAAATTAAGCAAATAGGACCCAAGTTCAAAGCAAAAGACAATGTTTATTCATACAATGGAGAGTTATTGTTGTAATTGATAATTACAAAAAGGATAGTAAAGATTGAAAAAAGTATCTAGGGCTCACGAAACTTGGAAAATGAGATCTATTGAGTGCTACTATATAGAAAAATCACTTAGATATATAAATCACATCAGGATAAGGAAATTCAATGAGCTAAAAATAATGAGAAGCTGAAAGAGTACGAAGAAGAAATGCTATACAGTCCTGGGCGCGGTCCTCTCCTAGAAATAGGATAGTGTGCTATATGGACCCTTGGTCTGAACTAACGTGCGGTTCTACAGCATCAGAACTGGTAGTGCAGTGATGGAGTGAGCTGTACGCAACACCCTTCTTGGTGAAATGCAAGGCCTGATGTTCACTAAATCCCACTTAGTGAACAGATGTTCCTGGCTCACCACAAGTCACAAAAGTAGCTGAGGATGCTGCCTATGGAGTGCTCAACAGATCTACGACAAAGCAGTGATGTTGAAGTTGAAACTTCACAATGAGCCAAGCCAGAGTACTCGGCATAACGCATCATGACAAAACAGCATGGGAAGCAAAAATAAGGAAATCTGTCTTTATAATTCTCCACTACAATACAGCTATAAAAATTATAAAATAGGCCCTCCTGCAGAATGAATGTCTGCAGGCACAAGGTAAGTAGGTGGTTGTAGCTCTTGTCTTCATAAACTGAATATTGCATTAAATGCAGACTTTTCCTTCTGCAATAAGCTTTAGTATTGTATTTAACTAAAACAAAAGCACCACTTGCTCTCTGTTAGTCTGGCAGATGCACATAAAAGAATCCTTTGGTGCACATCACCTTACCGTACCAAAGCAGTGAACTTCCCTTTGCCTGGTGCAACACGACATGTTCCCACATTTGCACCAAGTGAGCTGTCCAGAAGAGTCTTAAGCAATGTAAAGGATACACAGAATTCATATCACTGCCCATTCAAAAGTGACTGCTATATATGAAAATGGTTTATCAGATGACATTCTAGCTTAATTGTTTTCAATATGTTAAACATGATTTCACTAAAACATTAAATAATTGCGCATCTTCAATGCTTCTGGTTACCCCAGGCCAAAATTAACTGGCTGGTGTTATTGACAAAGAGAAGGAGGAGGAGCTACAAAGTAGCCTTGGGAAGATTCTCTAGAAGTATTCCTACATTGTTGGAATTCATGCTTTGGTACACCACTATTATTTTTTTTTCCATTTTTTACAGCAGATTTTTTTCTTAAATTATAGTTTTTAAAGCATTACTCATGCTTTCTTTAGATGGTTAATAAAATAGTTATTAAGAAGAACTATCAAGTCTTCATTTTTAAAACTCCTTGAAAGAGAAAATATTATTTTTGACTGAATTCATTAAAAAAAAAAAGACTCAAAAAGCATCCTCAAAGATATTAATTAAGTAAATAATTAGTTACTAGAATTAGAAATGTTTTCCATTTTGTTTATTGCTCACTCAATATGGATCTTTTAACCTTCCTAATAATAACTCTCACTTATTTGGGAGAGAGCCCAATTGACAGCTGGCAGCCTTCATTAGGTTTAATGTTTTAAAAAGGTCTTCCAAAACTCAAATTTACTCAAATTCCCCAGAATATGCAGCTGCTGCGTGGCGGTATTTATGGAGAATAGGCAAAGGCAGAGGTCCCATGAGCTCTCTCCAGTGCCCTGTCCTTGTCCAGCCTCCCCAGCACAAGATTCTCTAATCTCTTCTGGGAGCTGCTGCTATTGGCCTGTTCCTGACACACAATCCTTGCAGGAGGTGTCATTTTCTCCAGTAATTTTTGTCACCCTTGGAAGGAGCACAACACATTTGCATTCAGCTGGATAAGTACTAGGCATTTTTTAAATCCATTTCAACATCTGAACAATACTATGCTTTTTCCCAATGCTTCGATGTTTTAAATTTTACAACGGTTCTCTTACTGTACTTGGGCAGCAGAATAGGGGATTTAACAGTTGGGAAGAAAAGCATGCATCTGATCAGCAAAAGAAAACAAAAAATATTGAAAAGCAATCGCCAATTACAATGTATTACTATGCTGTTTAATGCCTACATATGGTAAGTTTTGTTTGGAGAGTTTAAATGATTGCCTTGCTTGAAGAACGGGTGATGTCTGGGAACTCTCAACTCCCTAAATCCAACCATTATGATTAACTATGGATTTCTTTACCTGGAAGTCTAGAAAGCAGCCAGCAACTGAATGGATAGCTTAATAAGTGATGTGAATGAAAAGATTCCAAGCTTAATAATCAAAACCAAAGATAGATTCCTCCTGTGTAATTGGAGGGTTTTTTTTAAATTATTATTATTATATAATAGTGTGTTAGCAATAAGGTTAAGGAAAAAAATTGTGCTAGATCATAAATCAATCCTGCTTCACACATGGCAAATTTCAAAGTGATACACTTATTTTGTAAATACTAAGATTTGAGGAAGAAGATTTTTTAAATTTTCCTTTTTTTAAAAAAAAATGATATAGCCATACGGCTTTATATTGCTAAATAATGCCTCTTTGTCATTCTCACATGAACATTAAATCATTTCTTACTATTTATAAATGAAAATGGAAAAATCTTACAGGCATTAATAATCAATTCAAAAATACAATCTCACACAAAGATAAGAATATTTTTGTGTGTCAGAAAAAGCCCCTGAGGTATAACTGTAGATGGCTTTGAGTGACTGACATGACATTTTCTCCTTTAGATGAAATACTTTTCTATGGTAACTGTGCTGCTAGGGATTTCTGTAACTTGCATCATTTTCACAGGCAGATACTGATTAAATGTAGGCATACAAGTGCACTTCAGCTTTTCAAGCAAAATGGCCAAGTCTTCAGAATGTCCTGAGGACCTGCAGAGATCACGTGTTGGATAGGAGAAAAGAGCACACAGCGCTTGCCCAGTATGAGAATGCTGCATATTCTAGGCTATTTCTTCAGGAATTAAGAATTTATATTCATATATATACATACATGATATGTGCATACATTCACATTCAGGACGATTCAACATTTTCTGCAGCAAAATAATAATTTCCTGGATCTCTAACAATTAAGAGATGCAGCAAATTATTAAGAATTTGTCATTTCTTCACGAGAAGCTGGTTTAAACTAACACACTGCAAGTGCTATTACAGAGATATATTTGACATCAAGGTTGCTCATGAGTAGGGGAGAACTCAGTGAACAGAGCTACTTTCAACAACAAGGTCTTCTTTTCTATATGCTTAAGCACTTTGAAAGTGGACTTCCCAAGATACAAAGAACTCAGATCACCTAAGGAATACACAGTATATAATGGGCAGATAGCATTCGATCAAACACTATTGTTGGCAAATGTTTATCCCTTAAGGCAACACTGAATAGGTTTTACAGCTCTTATTCAGAGATAAGAAATATGACATTTAAGAGATAGCAATGTGAACAAAGGCAACTAACTCTAGTGCTGCTTTATTATATTTTCTGAATGTGTAAGGTCATTGAGAAGTCACAGGTTGGGCATTCTTGCATAGCTCTCTCATACAGAATTACAGCTCTGAAAATGAATAAAAATGGAGAATTGGAGCAACAGATATTTGGAGAACAGTCATAAAAGTGGTGCAACAGACATTTTCAATTCTGGTCAATTGATTTTCAACTCATCAGATGGCTTTCTAAGAAAACATATTTGGGCACTTTACCAGTATTAAGAAGTTTCCTCATACGTGTTGTTAAACTGACTCTGCACCTTGTAACACTTAGGTAGAAGTTACTTACTACAGTTCTCTTCATCAGAATTATCACCACAGTCATTCTGGCTGTCACACCTCCAATGATCTGGAATACAGTTGTTGTTTTTGCACTGGAATTCGTGAGGCCCACAAGTTTTCTTATCTGTAATTAAGGAGACTATCATTTACATCATTACAGACAGACAGTCAAATCTGGAAAGACTGGTACTGAACAGTGACATGAGAATATTGCAAAGCATATTTTAGAAGGAGCAACTGTAACACTTAAAATGGTATTTTCAGAAATAATTAATTAATTAACCTCAACACATTCTTTAAGATCCTATTGATTCCTTCATACCAAACAAGATGTGCTCATAAATTGCATGATAATAATCAGAACATGTATTTTGAAAGAGTAAAAAATAGAGCAAAACTGTAATGTGTTTTAAATTGAGAAATATGTTTTTGAAGCAATTTTTACAGGAGGGGATGCTGTGAGATTTAAACATTTAAAACAGACTGTAAAATCTGCTATAATAACTTAACATTTACAGTAAAGTGTGAAATTCAAAAGTGAAACACAAGTTAGCTTAGGGAGAGGTTAGAAAATTGCACTGTATCTCAAAAAAACCTACCGACTTATCTTGAATTTTACTGTAAATTTACTTTATGAGAGACCAGATCCCACTAGCTACAAGGGTAATTATAAAATATATATATAGAAAATATGCATTTTCCATAGCTCTGATGCCATGCAAAAAATCAAGGCTAGTCATACTTAACAAAAAACTTTGCATTTTGATTTATATTTTTCTGGTCATTAGAAAATAGAGGTTTACTTATATAAAGCCAAACTTTTTAAGGTAAGCAAATCTAAACTGAGATCATATATTTTCTTCATATAATACATTTCCATTGAGCTTTCCTGTATACACAGCAGCACCGTAGGCAAAGCTTTTTCTGGATGCATGAGCATTCTCAAATCTGCAGTAGTAAGGAGCTGACTCTGTTTATTTGTATTTTTCTTTTCTATGTAATTCCTTCAGATTCTAAGAAGCAAGATGAAGTAAATCAAAATGATATCATTCACATGTTTTCATTGAAAAAACACATCTAAAATATGTTTGCTTTATGAAAGCTTCAATGACATATTTAAAATTACATGTCACACTGTTGATATTTCAATAGAAATTTCTTAACTTTCCATTAGGCTATTTCATAGCATGTCAGTTCAGACTCATGTTGCTATCAGGCCACTTGATGAGTTCTAGTAAGTGACAGAAAGGAGGACTGAACCTCGCTTGAATCAACCTGCTTTCTCTGCTTGGGAAACAGCAAGGAACACATCATGAATTATAGATACTAGATTTGATGCTGCAGCCCAAACTGCTGGGTTTTTTCCTTGTTTGTTTTTGTTTAAAGTCTAGTTCTGTAACTAGAACAAATCAAACCAATTGTTGAATATCAAGTAAGTGAGGGTAAATGGTCTCCCTAGCTCAGTTCTGCACACTTCAAAATTTAGTAATTACAGTACCGCCTTTTTGCATTTGTTCACCATTTTCTGCCAATATTGTGGCTGCAAGTAGCTTTCTCCCCATATTATTTTTTCCTGTGTTTTTTTTTTCCTCAAGATGGCAAAAAATTCAGATGCAGTCAATATTCCTGCCACTTTCACATCTTAGTTTACCACAATCCCTACACAAGCATGCCTTATACCACGATGTGTCAAATACTTAAACTGGCAAGCACTTAATTAACATTTAATATTATGCATTACATACATATATTTCCATATATATGTGTACAATAATATATGTAATATATATAATATAGTGTATATGTGTAATACACACACATGCACACATATATAAACACTCTTCTAATTTGTTTCTGTATCTTTGCCAAAGCCTATGCTTCAAATCAGGAATCTCAGCTATATTTATAATACTTCCAGTAGTCTATAGTCCTGTATCAAATATACTTGCCCACAAAATGAGTGTTGCAGACTACAGATTATATATATAGATCACAGATTATATTCTATTTCAGCTATCTGCTTGGAAAAAAAAAAAAAAAAACTACATCTTTTCATATGCTTCAGACAGAATTCTCCATTTCTCAGGGATGCTAAATGCATTTTCTGATCCTGCCTTTTTAAAAATTTACCTGGGTATAGTCTGACCTTATGACAGCTGTTGAATAATAATCCTTTTTCTTTCCCTTTTTTTAATTGAACACACATAAAAACATTTTTTTTTAATGCAAAATATTTTGACGCTTGGAAAGCTCTTTATTCTTCACTTCAGAAATCTTATAGCTTTATTTTTTCCCTTGGGATGATACTGATCTTTCACAGTAACTTATAGCTGCCAATGTCTACTATAAACCAGATTTTCTTGTCTTAGATTTTTTTTTTTCTTCATGGAAATAAGAGTGTAGGAAAACACTAGGACAGTAGAACTGAGATATAACAAAAAGAAAGATTATAGAGAGTTGAGTAATAAAAATCTGATCTCTCAGAAAGACACATTTATTGGACTCAAAAGAAAAGTTGTAGCACCTTGTTTTTTGAATGGTTGAATCCTAAGAGCAGAAACAGACATGAACATTTTGTCATTTTATATCTCTCTTCGATATGCAACCTGCTTTCTTTCTTAAAATGAAGCTGCCTTAAAATGGGAAGGTTTAGGTAACAATGGTATGAAGTGAGAGCAGTAAATGATGATTACCCCATTTTCACATTTCTCTCTTCAAATTACCACTATTAAGAGATCAATGGGTCTACTGTTACAGACGAATTGCTTTTTTTCCAGATTTTTGTGCACTGCATAAGTTGCAGCATATCTTTTGTGCAGCCATACCTAATATTTCCTTTCACAAATAGTTCCAAATGAGCAAGAAGAAAAGAAGAAGAAAACAGAATGGAGGCTTGAATGTATAAAACCAAAACAAAACAAATTAAAAAAATCACAAAAGCTTGCATTTATATCTTTAAAGTATTTTGATTCTAATCTCAATACCAGTGAAGTAAATCTCAGTTTGGCCACTAATTGCACTGGACTGCACATTTTGGATTTTAATTCCATGGGACGGATAGGGGTGTGTGTATGTGTACATGCACACACTTGCACACACCTAAAAGTGACAGAATCCAAAATGGGAAAACTCTGGCTTTCCCTGAGGATCAAATAGCTGCTCAGGGGCCTAGCAGGCTGTTGCTGATCCTGGATACAAGAAAATCTTACATTGCTGAAGAAAGTTTAAGTTTATAAAATGCATCCTTCAAAAGTCTTATAGAACATAGCCACAATCATCATTAAAAGGAAAAACAACAACAACAAACCTTTAACTCTTTAGGCTAAAAAAGAAATCAAGCGCATTATATTAATACCTCAAATGCGCATAACCTTTAAAGCAGAATATAATTATTTTCCAAGACTAAACATAGCTCTATTCATATTCTAATCAAGCAGTTTTTTGTGATGTAAAGCATTACAATTGTGAGTAAGGATCCACAAAACTTAACAGGATCGTTTAATTGTCTGGACAGAGAGAATAAATTACCTTAGCCTACTACCCTTTGAAAAAACACCCCATACTTGTGAATATGCATATATTTTCTAATTCTAGTTTGTTCATCCAAGTCAGAATCTAACCAGAGAAGGCTGTTTACACTCAGAATACACTAAACAAATGCACTCAGTGTAGTATTCCCAGTTATACATAGTACCAAGTGTTGACTAAGCAAAATACACCCATGAAGCATTTAAGAAAAAAGGAATTGCCCTTTATACTAGATGTTTTGCACTGCAAGCATCTTCAGAATGAACTATAAACTATCACAAGTTAGTGTTACTGCCAGCATATGCAGATCTTTATTATAGTCAGCTTGTAACTTTATAATTTAATGTTACCAAAGTTTTTTCATAAAAATAGTTCTCTTCAAAATTAAAAAAAAATAGAAAAACAAAAAAGGCAATAAAAATCGAGTGAAATTATGAAGCAATTACAGAAAATTATTACATTCTTCCTATTTACTAACTACGAGAGCAACAAAGTATGCAGAATCAATGGAAATTGAGTAATTCTGTAAGAAAAATCAAGATTGTCACTATTTACCAGATGAAATACTCACTTATAGATCCTGCCAATAATACAGTAGTATAATAAAAGTATTTATTCTACTCATGTAAAGATTTCAATTCAACAATATCTGTATGAAGCAGATATGACAATTATGTCATATTGGTACTATCGCATACTGAAAGAAGACACAGTAAGTGGAATCATTTTTATTAAAATAGGAAAGGGAAGTAAAGTCAAGCTACAGTGAGAGATACAATAAACTAAAATCTCAAGCAAAACATCTTGAAAGATGTGTGTAGAAAACAGTGTAGAAAATACTAGATTTTAATCTATTTTTGCAGTTAAACTTTCACTCTGCTCTCTCATTTATAAGACTGCCCTCATACTCACCACAGTTAGCTTCATCTGATCCATCAGCACAATCTGGGTCTTCATCACACACCCACAGTTTAGAAATGCAGTGTTTTGTAGTTTTACACTGGAAATGGTCTGGAGAACAACTGTTTTCCGCTTTAGAGAAAAGGATTTCAAATTAGAACTAGAAAATTCTGTTTACAAATCTTTTCTTTGAAAAATGAAATTAATAAAATACATTAATTTCTGTTGTATATGTAGTACTGCACATCACACAATCCACTGAATTACCTGTTTTGCATATTTCTCAAATTCTTTTACATAGCTGAATTCAGCTCCATGTTTAGAACCAACTACAGCCCTTGGAACAAAATTCTCTAGACATAACTTACGACAGTCTCTTTCATCTTCTTCATCACCACAGTCATCCTGTCCGTTGCATCTCAGATTTATTGGAATACACTTCTGGTTCCTTGTGCACTTGAACTGACCTGATAGACACACATGTGTGTCTTAAGTTAAAAGAATAAAAGTATTAATGAATTTCTTGACAGAATTTAAACCATGGCATTTAAATATCAGCTCAGCATGTTTCTGAAACATCTACCAGATATAAGCACCTACCACAGTTGAGTTCATCAGAATTGTCTCCACAATCATTTTCTCCATCACATATAAAGGCTGGAAGAGCACAAAGCCCAGTTCCACACTGGAAACGTCCTGGTTGACATCTGAATTCAGCTAAAGAAAGAAGGAAAACTGCTATCATAGTCGCAGATGAAAAGTAAAATGTCAATAGCGCTGTTCCTCCTATGTGGACTAAGTACAGGAATTCTTAAGTTATTGTATTTGACTATATTGTCTCATCCTGAATAGACAGCAGTTACTTAAATGTAAATATATTTCAACAAAATCAAATTCAAGTTTTTGATTCTGGTATAACTCCCCTATTTCATAAATGATACACGATACAACCTGCTATAGGCTATAGGTTGGTTCTTACTACAGAAACAACAGACTTGATATTAAAGATATAAATGCTTCTGTTAAGATCACTATTTAAGAAATCTGTCTTCCCTCTATTCCACTTTGACTATATTTCCCATGAAAGGTCTACCTCTGTTCATTCTTACAGGCACTGACATTTTACTGAACAAATAATTTTATGCTCCTAGAAAAATATTCTCTAAAAACACATTGTAGCTTAAGATGTACTTTTAAGCACAATGGTTACATATACAAAGACTAGTTTAAAGGCCTCTGCAGTAGAAAAAGAACTGTAAAATTATAAAAGTATGAATGATTTCCATAAGGAAATTCAAATGAACTGCTACTTATCCGAAAAACTTGAATACACAGTAGAGTTACAGGGAGTTTTTTTGTGGATAAGCTTGAGGGGAGAATACTGTAATAGTCTTTTATGTAGATTATGTAATATTGTTGCTGTAGTTGGCAATTGGGACTGAAAAATAGCATCATACAGAACAGTATTTCACTAATATCTAAGTAAACCTTCATTCACTACCATCACTGCTGTCATCTTTTGGGGTGCTGAAAAATATCAACATAATTGCTTTCAAGTTGCCTAAAACTCAATGGGATAACACTACAGAAACCTATGACAAAAGCTATAGATGGCTACCGAGATCTGCTGACTCTGCACCACATTGAATCGACTGTATCAAAGTTATGCAATGAACTGTTTCCATTCATCCTGTGTAAAATTGTTTACTGGATTGCTGAGATTTCTTTCTTAAAACTTTCCTTTGATAATATGCATAAAATTATAAAATTTTAAGAAAGAACTCTATAAAATCTCTAAGATAAAAATCTTTGGCTAAACCTCAGATGGGATCAAATTTTAAAACGAGAAACATGTTCTTGTGATTTTCCAAAGATCCTTAGTATACAGTATACATATATATTAATGAATATCTTTTACGGGCTGATAGACAAGAGCCTGTACTCTTTGCAAATCTGAGACAACAAACAAAATAATTGCATTGTTGATTTATTTAAGAAAACAAACAGTGCTACAAAACAAAAAGGTTTTCAAACAAAAGGAAAAAAAAAGGAAATACATGCTTCCAAATATGTGTAATACAAATTGTTTCATATATTAGATACAT